CCGAGGGACCGAATCACATCAGCTAGTATGATGGTTGAGGTCACGAAGGACCGGATCACACCAGCTAGTATGATGGTTGAGGTCCCGAGGTACCGAATCACACCAGCTAGTATGATGGTTGAGGTCCCGAGGGACCGAATCACATCAGCTAGTATGATGGTTGAGGTCCCGAGGGACCGAATCACATCAGCTAGTATGATGGTTGAGGTCCCGATGGACCGAATCACATCAGCTAGTATGATGGTTGAGGTCCCGAGGGACCGAATCACGCCAGCTAGTATGATGGTTGAGGTCCCGATGGACCGGATCACATCAGCTAGTATGATGGTTGAGGTCCCGAGGGACCGAATCACATCAGCTAGTATGATGGTTGAGGTCCCGATGGACCGAATCACATCAGCTAGTATGATGGTTGAGGTCACGAAGGACTGGATCACATCAGCTAGTATGATGGTTGAGGTCACGAAGGACCGGATCACATCAGCTAGTATGATGGTTGAGGTCACGAAGGACCGGATCACATCAGCTAGTATGATGGTTGAGGTCACGAAGGACTGGATCACATCAGCTAGTATGATGGTTGAGGTCACGAAGGACCGGATCACATCAGCTAGTATGATGGTTGAGGTCACGAAGGACCGGATCACAACCACCAGAGATATCCACGGGAAAAAACAGGCCTCGTGTGATAGCAATGCATGCAGTAAACATCAAGAGATCGACGAGCCTGTATTTACGTACTGACCTCCTGGCGAATGTTAACGAAGGCCGGTCCGTAGAACCAGTAAATTAGATGAAGATAAAAGATTTACGATCCACTTCAGGAGGACAGAAAGAGGAAGGACGCCTAACAGGATCCTACCTCACAAGAAGACTGGCCACGGAAACTTTCACCAAAATAAGGTGAAGGACTTTATTAATCTCCTTCCACTTATTAGGTATCCCAGAGGGAAGAGCTTTTAAGCGGATGATCGAATTTCCCCTTTTTTCTTTCTCCAATATTCCGTCTTTTTTCCTCATAACTCGAAAACTCATTCAATGAACCCCTAATTATGTATATATATAATATATATATATATATATATTATATATAATATATATATATATATATATATATATATATATATATATATATATATATATATATATATATATATATATATATAACGAAATAAAACAAAAGATAAAAAAGGAAATGGACAAAATGAAAGGAAGGTGCCAGGATGAATGTTGTGCAGGAAGTGCCAGGATGAATGTTGTGCAGGAAGGTGCCAGATGAATGTTGTGCAGGAAGGTGCCAGGATGAATGTTGTGCAGGAAGATGCCAGGATGAATGTTGTGCAGGAAGGTGCCAGGTGAATGTTGTGCAGGAAGGTGCCAGGTTGAATCTTGTGCAGGAAGGTGCCAGGTTGAATGTTGTGCAGGAAGGTGCCAGGTTGAATGTTGTGCAGGAAGGTGCCAGGTTGAATGTTGTGCAGGAAGGTGCCAGGTTGAATCTTGTGCAGGAAGGTGCCAGGTTGAATGTTGTGCAGGAAGATGCCAGGTTGAATCTTGTGCAGGAAGATGCCAGGTTGAATCTTGTGCAGGAAGGTGCCAGGTTGAATGTTGTGCAGGAAGATGCCAGGTTGAATGTTGTGCAGGAAGATGCCAGGTTGAATGTTGTGCAGGAAGGTGCCAGGTTGAATGTTGTGCAGAATGATGACAGGTTGAATGTTGTGCAGGAAGATGACAGGTTGAATGTTGTGCAGGAAGGTGCCAGGTTGAAGTTGTGCAGAATGATGACAGGTTGAATGTTGTGCAGGAAGATGACAGGTTGAATGTTGTGCAGGAAGATGCCAGGTTGAATGTTGTGCAGGAAGGTGCCAGGTTGAATGTTGTGCAGGAAGATGCCAGGTTGAATTTGTGCAGGAAGTGCCAGGTTGAATGTTGTGCAGGAAGATGCCAGGTTGAATGTTGTGCAGGAAGGTGCCAGGTTGAATGTTGTGCAGGAAGATGCCAGGTTGAATGTTGTGCAGGAAGGTGCCAGGTTGAATGTTGTGCAGAATGATGACAGGTTGAATGTTGTGCAGGAAGGTGCCAGGTTGAAAGTTGTGCAGAAGATGACAGGTTGAATGTTGTGCAGGAAGATGACCCGGTTGAATGTTGTGCAGGAAGATGCCAGGTTGAATGTTGTGCAGGAAGGTGCCAGGTTGAATGTTGTGCAGGAAGATGCCAGGTTGAATGTTGTGCAGGAAGGTGCCAGGTTGAATGTTGTGCAGGAAGATGCCAGGTTGAATGTTGTGCAGGAAGGTGCCAGGTTGAAGTTGTGCAGAATGATGACAGGTTGAATGTTGTGCAGGAAGATGACAGGTTGAATGTTGTGCAGGAAGATGCCAGGTTGAATGTTGTGTAGGAAGATGCAAGGTTGAATGTTGTGCAGGAAAATGCCAGGTTGAATGTTGTGCAGGAAGGTGCCAGGTTGAATGTTGTGCAGGAAGATGCCAGGTTGAATGTTGTGCAGGAAGGTGCCAGGTTGAATGTTGTGCAGGAAGATGACAGGTTGAATGTTGTGCAGGAAGGTACCAGGTTGAATGTTGTGCAGGAAGGTGCCAGGTTGAATGTTGTGCAGGAAGGTACCAGGTTGAAAGTTGTGCAGGAAGATGACAGATTGAATGTTGTGCAGGAAGGTGCCAGGTTGAATGTTGTGCAGGAAGGTGCCAGGTTGAATGTTGTGCAGGAAGGTACCAGGTTGAATGTTGTGCAGGAAGATGCCAGGTTGAATGTTGTGCAGGAAGGTGCCAGGTTGAATGTTGTGCAGGAAGGTGCCAGGTTGAACGTGTGTCCAGGAAGGCGTCAGGCTGAACGTGTGTCCAGGAAGGCGTCAGGTTGAACGTATGTCCAAGAGGGTGTCAGGTTGAGCGTGTGCTTTGGAAGGCGTCAGGATGAACGTGTGCTCTGGAAGGCGTCTGGTTGAACGTGTGCTCTCAAAAGGCGTCAGGGTGAACGTGTACCCTGGAAGGCGTCAAGGTGAACGTGTGCTCAGACAGGCGTCAGGGTGAGCATGTGCCCTGGAAGGCGTCAGGGTGAACGTGTGCTCAGGCAGGCGTCAGGGTGAATATGTGCCCTGGAAGGCGTCAGGTTGAACGTGTATCCAGGAATGTGTCAGGTTGAAGGTGTGCTCTGGAAGGTGTCATGGTTGAACATGTGCTCAGGCAGGCGTCAGGTTGAACGTGTGCTCTGGAAGGCGTCATGGTGAACATGTTCCCTGGAAGGCGTCAGGGTGAACATGTGCCCTTGAAGGCGTCAGGGTGAATGTGCGCTCAGGCAGGCGTCAGGTTGAACGTGTATCCAGGAAAGTGTGAGGTTGAATGTATATCCAGGAAGGTGTCAGGTTGAACGTGTATCCAGGAAGGTGTCAGGTTCAACGTGTATCCAGGAAGGTGTCAGGCTGAAGGTGTATCCAGGAACGTGTCAGGTTGAACGTGTATCCAGGAAGGTGTCAGGCTGAAGGTGTATCCAGGAAGGTGTCAGGTTGAAAGTGCCCTGAAAGGCGCCAGGGGTGAAATCTAGCCCCTATCCACCGCTCCAAAATCTGACTAATATATTCCCAGCAAGGTGAGTCTGCTGATAGCGCCTGCCCAGGCAGCTCATCAATAAGTTTTCTCCCTCCAGAGAATTTACTGTTGTTGGTCGAGTCAGTTTTGCTTGTGAGTTGAGAGCGTCGTTGAGGGACAGCCTCCTCGCCTATCTCCCATAACTAGCGTCATGCTTCACATTTTTACTGATTTCAAATGTGGTTTTCGAGAAATAAAAATCACGATAGCCTGGCTGGATTGCCTGTAAATTTCTGCCTTTTTTTCTTTTCCGCGACTTGTTTTTGCTGCTAAATGAGTCTTGACGACGTGACGAGGAAGATGAACTAATTGGATTTGTTGGATTTTATGAAGTCCTGGAGGCGCATCTGTAGCTAATCTGTGGCGTACCTGTTACATACCAGTAACACGTCTGTATCACACCTGTTACATACCTGTAGCACATCTGCAATACATCTGTTACCGGTATCGAGAGTGCTTTCAGCCTAACAGCCTTATTTTCTCCCGTGAGAAATCACTTCAAACACAGATTGATATCTTAATTTAAGACAGGTTGGTCTTGGTTGCAAGTTAATCAAGATATTGTGTATTCTTTTTATTACCAAACTTAATTTTCTGTTTATCGTGAATCATCTAGTGGGATATCTGGAATATCCCCTAAAATATGAGAGGTAACTTTAAAACACCGATCGGCTTCAAACTCTCAAAGCTGGTGTATCTTAGCTCAGAGGGAAGGAATGGTGCATAAGTGGTGGTGTCTTTGCCTGCCTTACTCTTACTAGTTATTTTGCTTCTAATTAAACCAGAATAACTTTTTTTACATGGTTGTGGAGCATTAAGACAAATATTACTACGACGAGAAGGCTAAAGAAAAAAATATTGAAAACTTACTTAACTTTTTTCGGAATATTGAAGTTTGATAAATTTACTGTAGACTTCTCTGGCAGCGAAAAAGGCACATATATACACACTTCTAAGACAGTATAACACACCTCTTACAATATAACACACGTCCTCATATCTAACACAGCATAACACATATCCTGAAGCAGATAAAACGAACACACCTCTTACATCAAAACACGTACACTACTCTCACATCCAAACACCTACACTATACTGACATCATAACTCACTATAGGTTACGAAGAATATTTCTCCCTGAAAGTGCAGCGAAGGAATTATATTTGTTAAATATATGAAGACGGACTGAAAAGAAAACGTGAAGACATCTGCCTATCACACGTTTCTCACCTGAGTGACTGCTGTAATCAGGTACTCACCTGAGTGACTGCTGTAATCAGGTACTCACCTGAGTGACTGCTGTAATCAGGTACTCACCTGAGTGACTGCTGTAATCAGGTACTCACCTGAGTGACTGCTGTAATCAGGCATTCACCTGAGTGACGGCTGTAATCAGGTACTCACCTGAGTGATGCGTTAGAGGCACCGAGCCAGGCATCCAGGCGATACTTGAAGCTGAGGACGCCTACGCCTCCGTCAGGATGATGGAGCGTGGGGGTCACTAAACGGCTAGGGACGTCGCCCCCTTTCCCCGGCTTCTCCGATACGGTGACGGCTTCACTGAGATGTACCGTAGCACTTCAGGAGGAAGAAGAGAGAGGGATGATGAATGATAGCTACAAGGAAGGGAGTGCCAGAAAGTATACTCTCAGATATCCACCTCCAACGGAAATATACACCGAGAGATGGTTCATATACACTGTGTTGGAACTTATAGGATCGTAAATGGCCAAGATAAATAAGCAGACAGACGATCGAGGGCAGGATTAAGAGTAAAGAATAAGTCACAATACCGTGACTGGAACAATACACAAATAACCCGTACATAGGAGAGAGAAACTTGTGACGACGTTTTGATCTGACTTGAACCATTTACAAGTCGTAAGCTTCTTCTCCTATGTGCGGGTTATTTACGTAGAACCGAAAGTGTTCCGGGTGATCTTGTGTCAAAGAATACTCTGTGATCCTGGAACTCAGTTATGAAGACACTCTTGAGAACCACATCTCGCTCAGATGTACCCTGTCATCCCAGAGCTAAACATTGTCCTCTCAGTAAGAGCCTCCACCACTACTTACCCTCAAAGTTATCATCCAGACAGTGTCGTTCATCATCGCCGTCAGGACAGTCAATGCGACGGTCGCAGACGGAGAGCTCCGGGATACAGTGCCAGGACGGACAGCGATACAAGCCTTGGGCGCAGTTTTCTACGCCATCCACTCCCACGCCCACACACTCCCTCTCATCCTCACCTCCCTCACAGTCCCACACACCGTCACAGATCTGGAAGCTATATAGGGAAGAAAGTGGAGTTATAAACAGAGGAAGGATGGATGGACTGTGACTGTCTAGAAATAAATATGTGGATGTGTGGGATAATTGTTTCATTTTTGTGAGTCTGTGATGTTTATGGGAGGGGAAACTCACCTAACTACAGAGAAGTTGTGGGAGAGAAAGAAGGGGGAACTCACCTAACTACACAGAAGTCGGAAACGAGAGTGAGAGAAGACTCACCTAGCGACGCAGACGTCACAGACGAGGTGAGCCAAAGGGCAAGCGTCACAGTAAAGCTCATCAGTGCAGGAGGGCAGAGAAGGTGAGCCGTCACACACCTGCTCCTGGGGCACACACACACCTGACGTAGGGCAGATGAACTCACCAGGGCCACAGTAGGCGCACCCAACCTGCCCACGGAGCACACATTTTGAAACTAAGCAATATATGAGGTAATATTTCTATGGTTTTAACTAATTAGACCTAGGGAGACCTTGGGTCATATGACCAAAAGTGGTCGTCAGCGAGTCAACACATGAAGAAGACCAGTCAGGATATACCTTCTCTCTCTCTCTCTCTCTCTCTCTCTCTCTCTCTCTCTCTCTCTCTCTCTCTCTCTCTCTCTCTCTCTCTCTCTCTCTCTCTCGTGTTAATACATGCAAAATTTCAGTGCAAGAAATATTTATACAAACAAGGATAACCCACCATAGCACAAAGCAATGTATATATATATATCCAACACAATATACACTACTCAATAGCACACATTAGCATACCAGACTATTTTTTTGTATAATGTATATATGTGAAGTTTATGAGAATATATATAAACAAAAGCGTAATTATTTTTTATTACACAGAGATAATATGATTTTTTTTGTTTTATTTACGTTTATCATGTTTAACTGTTATATATTAAGCGCGGGTTATGTAGCGATTTTAACCTCTTATGTTAGACATTTGTACAGAATAAACGAACACACACACACAATATATATATATATATATATATATATATATATATATATATATATATATATATATATATATATATATATATATATATATATATCCTAACAATTTCTTTAATGTGTTTCACTGTTATATTGTTACATTGTCAACATGTGAGTCTTCACTCAGCGCTGTTGAGTTGGTGCAGGTTTTTTCATGTTTATGCACCAAACTCATTATTTTGCATCAGTGACTTATTTCAGTGGGTTATATTTGCAAGTGGCAGGATATAACAGCGTGAAGAGGACTGCTCACTTCACGGAGTTCCACAACGCTCTAAGTGAGCTTCAAGATAGAGCGGAATGCTCAAAAGTATTTGTGAAGGATACGCTTGTGTCTAGAGAGCCTCTTTGACTGTGTCTCCTCCATGTCATCCTCTCAGGGAGTCCTTTTTATCATTCCAGAACTCCTCTTGTTCCTCTCTCTTTAATATTCCAAAGCCCGAGCTGCATTTCTTGAATCTTTAAAATTACACTGGCTCATTTCTGCTTTAGACTCTCTTTATTTTCTCATGTTTTACGTCCTAAATATTCCAGGGCCAATCATCTATTTCAGAGTCTCCTAATTATTCCTGGTTCAAATTTGTGTTGCCTAAATGATCTCTAATATTCTAAGATACTGAGGAGAATATTGGCAAGATTCCAGTGTGGCAATTCTGCTACTGTTCTCTGAAATTACTTTCCACCTAGAGACTCGTTCTTTTAGGTACACGACGGCTCTCTTTTTGATCTCCAGCGGGAAAATTCGTATCATAATTATGTGAAGAAAATATTCCTCTTAATGAGCTGGGTTGCGGAGCAGACATCAGCGTTGTCTGCAGCGTCAGCAGAGGCTCGTCAGGATGAGCAGAGAGTGGGAGAGGGAAGAGGAGGTTATTATGGGTGAGCAGTGTGAAGGAGATGAGGGGATTATCAGGGTTAGGGAAAAGTAGGTAGAGGGGAGGGGTTGAAGGGGAATGAGGGGGTAGTGGGTAAGGTGGGTTAGTTATCACGTCAAGACTATGGTGGGTTATCATCCACGACAAGACCATGGTGGGTTACCAACCATGTCAAGAAAATGGTGGGTTACCAACCATGTCAAGACCATGGTGGGTTAAAAACCACGACAAGACCATGGTGGGTTACCCACTATCTCAAGACCATGGCGGGTTAAAAACCACGACAAGACCATGGTGGGTTACCAACCACGCCAAGAGACCATGGTGGGTTAGCAACCACGTCAAGAGCCGTGTGGGTTACCAACCACGTCAAGACCATTGTAGGTTACAACCACGACAAGACCATGGTGGGTTACCAACCATTCAAACACAATGGTGAATTAAAACCACGACAAGACCATCGTGGTTACCAACCTGTCCAGACCATCGTAGGGTCTTACCATCCACGTCCAACACAGAGCGGAATATCACCCAGTCACAGACCACATCTGATACCATATCCTCTCACGAGGACAGAGGGGCAATCCTTGGGAGGAGCGTCAAGGAGAAAGGCAAGCGCAGTAACGTCATAGGAAATAAGTATCCCCACAACCACATTGCATCAACACACAACATTATTCAACTTTCTCACGGAGAAGAAAGAGGAACAGAGGGAGAAAGGGAATCCAGACTTAGGGAGGGAGAGTAAAGTAAGAGAAAGTGAAAGAAAACGCTGAGATAAAAGTTGATTAGGAAATCATTTATAATTCCACTTAATAATTTTTTAAATACATATAATACTTCTATAATATCCTTCACTATGTATAACACTCCTATAATATCCTTTAATATAATCTTACTAAAGATGGAAAATATTTCAAGGCTGGAATCAAGTTGCAGACAATAGAAATGGTTAGTCATAATTTGTGTTGTTAGGTTAGTTACCCGTGTCTTAGTTTCTTACCTTAATAATTTTCTAAGGTAAACAAGTTTATTTGGGTACAGTTATACATAATTACAATTATCACACGTAGTTTAACATGCACATTAAATAAAACAAAGAAAACAAAGAGGTCAATGTGGTTTATTTCCATTGGAATTCTTGATAACTTCAGAGATTTACACTTACAGTCGCATTAAGTGCACAAGTGCACTTACAAGAACATGAGTGTCGCGTCTGCTAAGAATATTGAAATATTCGTCTGTACTGGAGAAAAGAGATGATTGGAAAAGACTCAACTATGAAATGCATTTCAGTGTATATTGCAAGCGGAATGGGCGTGGGTAAGACTCACCGTGGGTGGGTGTGGTCCGGGACACGCCCACGCAGGCGGCCTCATCCTCAGCGTGGGTACAGTGGGCGATGCCATCACATAGATGGTTGCGAGGTAGGCATGGGCTGGGGGTGGTCTTACATCCCTCGCCCTCACACGCCCGTCCTGTGGGCGTCAGCGAGTCACTCATTCTCACTCATACATTCATCAGTAAATCCAGTCATGTATTCATCAACTCAGTCGTATGATAATTTATGTTTTCACGAGATTGTTGACACATATCTTCAAAATAAACTTACTCCAAACCTTGTACCATACAATACCATGATACCATACAATACCATGATACCATACAATACCATGATACCATACAATACCATGATACCATACAACACCATGATACCATAAAATACCATGATACCATACAATACCATGATACCATACAATACCATGATACCATACAACACCATGATACCATACAATACCATGATACCATAAAATACCATGATACCATACAATACCATGATACCATACAATACCATGATACCATACAATACCATGATACCATACAACTACCATGATACCATACAATACCATGATACCATACAATACCATGATACCATACAATACCATGATACCATACAATACCATGATACCATACAAACCATGATACCATACAATACCATGATACCATACAATACCATGATACCATACAATACCATGATACCATACAATACCATGATACCATACAATACCATGATACCATACAATACCATGATACCATACAACACCATGATACCATACAATACCATGATACCATACAATACCATGATACCATACAATACCATGATACCATACAATACCATGATACCATACAATACATTGATACCATACAATACCTTGATACCATACAATACCATGATACCATACAATACCATGATACCATACAATACCATGATACCATACAACACCATGATACCATACAATACCTTGATACGATACAATACCATGATACCATACAACACCATGATACCATACAATACCATGATACCATGCAACACCATGATACCATACAATACCATGATACCATGCAACACCATGATACCATACAACACCATGATACCATACAACACCATGATACCATACAACACCATGATACCATACAACACCATGATACCATACAATACCATGATACCATACAACACCATGATACCATACAACACCATGAACCTACAAACCATGATACATACAACACCATGATACCATACAACACCATGATACCATACAACACCATGATACCATACAATACCATGATACCATACAACACCATGATACCATACAATACCATGATACCATGCAACACCATGATACCATACAATACCATGATACCATACAACACCATGATACCATACAACACCATGATACCTTACAACACCATGATACCATACAACACCATGATACCAATACAACACACATGATACCATACAATACCATGATACCATACAACACCATGATACCATACGACACCATGATACCTTACAACACCATGATACCATACAACACCATGATACTTCACCAATACCATGATACCTTACAACACCATGATACTTCAACACCATGATACCTTACAACACCATGATACACATACAACACCATGATACCATCAAACATGATACTACAACCATGATACCTACAACACCATGATACCTTACAAACACATGATACCTACAATACCATGATACCTCAGAATACCATGATACCATACAACACCATGATACCATACAACACCATGATACCATACAACACCATGATACCATACAACACCATGATACCATACAACACCCTGAGACCATACAACACCATGATACATCAGTAACACCATGATAACATACAATACCATGACACCATACAACACCATGATACATCAGTAACACCATGATACCATACAATACCATGACACCATACAACACCATGATACCTCACCAACACCATGATACCATACAACACCACGATACCATACAACACCATGATACTATACAATACCATGATGCCATACAACACCATGAGACCATACAACACCATGATACCATACAACACCATGATACCATACAACACCATGATACCTCACCAACACCATGATACATCAGTAACACCATGATACCTCACCAACACCATGATACCATACAACACCACGATACCATACAACACCATGATACTATACAACACCATGATACCTACCAACACCATGATACATCAAACACCATGATACCTCACAACACCATGATACCATACAACACCACGATACCATACAACACCATGATACTATACAATACCATGATGCCATACAACACCATGAGACCATACAACACCATGAGACCATACAACACCATGATACCTCACCAACACCATGATACCTGACAACACCATGATACCTCACCAACACCATGATACCTGACAACACCATGATACATGACAACACCATGATACCATACAACACCATGATACCTCACAACACCATGATACCTCACAACACCATGATACCTCACCAACACCATGATACCTGACAACACCATGATACATGACAACACCATGATACCATACAACACCATGATACCTCACAACACCATGATACCTCACAACACCAGGATACCTCACAACACCATGATACCTCACAACACCATGATACCTCACAACACCATGATACCTCACAACACCAGGATACCTTACAACACCATGATACCATGCAACACCATGATACCTCACAACACCATGATATCTCACAACACCATGATACCTCACAACACCAGGATACCATACAACACCACCTCACAACACCATGATACCTCACAACACCATGATACCTCACAACACCATGATACCTCACAACACCATGATACCTCACAACACCATGATATCTTACAACACCATGATATCATACAACACCATGATACCTCACAACACCATGATACCTCACAACGCCATGATACCTCACAGCACCATGATACCATACAACACCATGATACCTCACAACACCATGATACCTCACAACACAATGATACCTCACAACACCATGATACCATATAGCGCCATGATAACTCACCAACACCATGATACACCACTCCATCAAGAAGCTACCCCTAATTCATCACCACCATACCCCAATCCACCAACAAGATTCCCATCTCCACTAACAATATACCCCACTCAGTCAACAAGACATCCCACTTCGTCAACAAGACATCCCACTTCGTCAACAAGACATCCCACTCCGTCAATAAGACATCCCACTCCGTCAACAAGACATCCCACTCCGTCAACAAGACATCCCACTCCGTCAACAAGACATCCCACTCCGTCAATAAGACATCCCACTCCGTCAACAAGACATCCCACTCCGTCAACAAGACATCCCACTCCGTCAACAAGACATCCCACTCCGTCAACAAGACATCCCACTCTACCAAGAAGATACCCCACTCCACTAACTTACCTGATGGGCAGCGGAAAGCTCCGTCGGCACACACAGCCGAGCCCAGCTGCAGGTCGTAGGTCAGTGACCTGCCGCCTGACCTGCACTCCAGGTAGCCTGCACCTCTCTCACACTCTGTGGAAGACAGCAGTGTGCAGGTTAAGGTTGAAACATGAAGGTTGAAACATGAAGGTTGAAACATGAAGGTTGAAACATGAAGGTTGAAACATGAAGGCTGAAACATGAAGGTTGAAACATGAAGGTTGAAACATGAAGGTTGAAACATGAAGGTTGAAACATGAAGGCTGAAACATGAAGGATGAAACATGAAGGTTGAAACATGAAGGTTGAAACATGAAGGCTGAAACATGAAGGTTGAAACATGAAGGTTGAAACATGAAGGTTGAAACGATGAAGGCTGAAACATGAAGGTTGAAACATGAAGGTTGAAACATGAAGGCTGAAACATGAAGGTTGAAACATGAAGGTTGAAACATGAAGGTTGAAACATGAAGGTTGAAACATGAAGGTTGAAACATGAAGGTTGAAACATGAAGGTTGAAACATGAAGGTTGAAACATGAAGGTTGAAACATGAAGGCTGAAACATGAAGGTTGAAACATGAAGGTTGAAACATGAAGGTTGAAACATGAAGGTTGAAACATGAAGGCTGAAACATGAAGGATGAAACATGAAGGTTGAAACATGAAGGTTGAAACATGAAGGCTGAAATATGAAGGTTGAAACATGAAGGTTGAAACATGAAGGTTGAAACATGAAGGCTGAAACATGAAGGTTGAAACATGAAGGTTGAAAACATGAAGGTTGAAACATGAAGGTTGAAACATGAAGGTTGAAACATGAAGGTTGAAACATGAAGGTTGAAACTTGAAGGTTGAAACATGAAGGCTGAAACATGAAGGTTGAAACATGAAGGTTGAAACTTGAAGGTTGAAACATGAAGGTTGAAACATGAAGGTTGAAACATGAAGGTTGAAACATGAAGGTTGAAACATGAAGGTTGAAACATGAAGGTTGAAACATGAAGGTTGAAACATGAAGGTTGAAACATGAAGGTTGAAACATTAAGGTTGAAACATTAAGGTTGAAACTTGAAGGTTGAAACATGAAGGTTGAAACATGAAGGTTGAAACATGAAGGTTGAAACATGAAGGTTGAAACATGAAGGTTGAAACATGAAGGTTGAAACATGAAGGTTGAAACATGAAGGTTGAAACATGAAGGCTGAAACATGAAGGTTAGAAACATGAAGTTTGAAACATGAAGGTTGAAACATGAAGGTTGAAACATGAAGGTTGAAACATGAAGGTTGAAACATGAAGGTTGAAACATGAAGGTTGAAACATGAAGGTTGAAACATGAAGGCTGAAACATGAAGGTTGAAACATGAAGGTTGAAACATGAAGGTTGAAACATGAAGGCTGAAACATGAAGGATGCAACATGAAGGTTGAAACATGAAGGTTGAAACATGAAGGCTGAAACATGAAGGTTGAACATGAAGGTTGAAACATGAAGGTTGAAACATGAAGGTTGAAACATGAAGGCTGAAACATGAAGGTTGAAACATGAAGGTTGAAACATGAAGGTTGAAACATGAAGGTTGAAACATGAAGGTTGAAACTTGAAGGTTGAAACATGAAGGCTGAAACATGAAGGTTGAAACTTGAAGGTTGAAACTTGAAGGTTGAAACATGAAGGTTGAAACATGAAGGTTGAAACATGAAGGTTGAAACATGAAGGTTGAAACATGAAGGTTGAAACATGAAGGTTTGAAACATGAAGGTTGAAACATGAAGTTGAAACATGAAGGTTGAAACATGAAGGATGAAACATGAAAGGATGAAACATGAAGGTTGAAACATGAAGGTTGAAACATGAAGGTTGAAACATGAAGGTTGAAACATGAAGGTTGAAACATGAAGGATGAAACATGAAGGTTGAAACATGAAGGTTGAAACATGAAGGTTGAAACATGAAGGTTGAAACATGAAGGTTGAAACATGAAGGATGAAACATGAAGGTTGAAACATGAAGGTTGAAACATGAAGGTTGAAACATGAAGGCTGAAACATGAAGGTTGAAACATGAAGGATGAAACATGAAGGTTGAAACATGAAGGTTGAAACATGAAGGTTGAAACATGAAGGTTGAAACATGAAGGTTGAAACATGAAGGTTGAAACATGAAGGTTGAAACATGAAGGTTGAAACATGAAGGTTGAAACATGAAGGTTGAAACTTGAAGGTTGAAACATGAAGGTTGAAACATGAGGGATGAAACATGAAGGTTGAAACATGAAGGTTGAAACATGAAGGTTGAAACATGAAGGTTGAAACATGAAGGTTGAAACATGAAGGTTGAAACATGAAGGTTGAAAAATGAAGGTTTAAACATGAAGGTTGAAACATGAAGGTTGAAACTTGAAGGTTGAAACATGAAGGTTGAAACATGAGGTTGAAACATGAAGGTTGAAACATGAAGGTTGAAACATGAAGGTTGAAACATGAAGGTTGAAACATGAAGGTTGAAACATGAAGGTTGAAATATGAAGGTTGAGACATGAAGGTTGAAACATGAAGGTTGAAACATGAAGGCTGAAACATGAAGGTTGAAACATGAAGGATGAAACATGAAGGTTGAAAACATGAAGGTTGAAAACATGAAGGTTGAAACATGAAGGCTGAAACATGAAGGATGAAACATGAAGGATGAAGCATGAAGGTTGAAACATGAAGGTTGAAACATGAAGGTTGAAACATGAAGGTTGAAACATGAAGGTTGAAACATGAAGGTTGAAACATGAAGGTTGAAACATGAAGGATGAAACATGAAGGATGAAACATGAAGGTTGAAACATGAAGGCTGAAACATGAAGGTTGAAACATGAAGGATGAAACATGAAGGTTGAAACATGAAGGTTGAAACATGAAGGTTGAAACATGAAGGCTGAAACATGAAGGTTGAAACATGAAGGTTGAAACATGAAGGTTGAAACATGAAGGTTGAAACATGAAGGCTGAAACATGAAGGTTGAAACATGAAGGTTGAAACATGAAGGTTGAAACATGAAGGTTGAAAGGGAAGGGTTGGTGATGGGAATGAAACTGAGACGGAAGGATGAGAATGGGTGAGAGGGAAAGAAAGTCTTAAAGGGGAATAGTGAGAGGGGAATGGCGAGAGAGGGGAAGAGTAAGAGGGGAAGGATGGGAGGGGAAGGATGGGAGGGACGGGTGAGAGGGGAAAGGTGAGAGGGGAAAGGTGAGAGGGAAGAGTAGAGGGGAAGGGTGAGAGGGGAAGGGTGAGAGGGGAAGGGTGAGAGGGGAAGAGTAAGAGGGGAAGGGTGAGAGGGAAAGGGTGAGAAGGGAAGGATTGGAGGGGAAGGGTGATCTCTCCCCCACCCCTCCCGTCCCCTCCCACCCCTCTCCCAGTGTTTGTAAACAGTGGTCAGGTAATTCTTCTCATTTTTCTTGGCACAGAAAAACAAGACATATGATCACTTATTAGAGCGAGTCCGTCTTGAGAGAGAGAGAGAGAGAGAGAGAGAGAGAGGGTGGCCTTACTGTTATGTACAAGGCCAATATTGTCAAAATACCACACTTGGATCCACTTCGAGGACAGCGTGAAACAAGCTTTTATGCCACAAGACGGGCAGAAAGCAGCAACTTCACTCTGGCTGTACCCTTCTCCAGAACATCACTCCATCTGAGATCATACATACCCAGGATGACTCGAGTATGGAACACATTCGTACAGCATAATGATGTCAACGAGATAACGTCAGTTGATCAAATGAAAATGCTGGCCCACAGATGGCTCCAACTTCATCCTGTTCCCTACTTGTATGTCTCATAACAAAAATGCTTTCAAATGAGCTGATGTAGGTAACAGCTCTTAGCTTGCCAATAAAGTTAGGAATCCTTAACCTGTAAATAGCTGTCAATAAAGCTAGGGATCCTTAACCTTGTCAAACCCTGTGTAAAAAAAAAAAAAAAAAAAAAAAAAAAAAAAAAAAAAGAGAGAGAGAGAGAGAGAGAGAGAGAGGAGAGAGAGAGAGAGAGAGAGAGAGAGAGAGAGTGAGAGTGAGAGAGAGAGAGAGAGAACAAATTAAGATGATTCATTGCTGCTACTTGCTCGCCACGTCTTACTTAATTTATGCTGAAATTCGTTTGACTTACCTGTAACCATGTAGGAGGAGGGGAGGGGTAAGGAAGGAGGGAGGGGGTAAGGAAGGAGGGAGGGGGTAAGGAAGGAGGGAGGGGGTAAGGAAGGAGGGAGGAGGTAAGGAAGGAGGGAGGGGGTAAGGAAGGAGGGAGGGGGTAAGGAAGGAGGAGGAGGTAAGGAAGGAGGGAGGGGGTAAGGAAGGAGGGAGGAGGTAAGGAAGGAGGGAGGGGGTAAGAAGGAGGGAGGGGGTAAGGAAGGAGGGAGGGGGTAAGGAAGGAGGGAGGGGGTAAGGAAGGATGGACGGGGTAAGGAAAGGAGGGAGGGAGTAAGGAAGGAGGGAGGAGGTAAGGAAGGAGGGAAGGGGTTAGAAAGGTAGGAAACAAGGAGGAGAAAGTCGAGGAAGGAGAGAGGGAAGCAATAAACGAAGAACTAGACAAGAAAGATGGAAGGAAATTGTAGTAGCATAAAACCAATATCTAACTTGAAGGAACAGAGAGGACAAAGGGAAGGAGAGAAGTGGAACAGTGGAAGAGAGACAGGGGAAAAACAATGGAGGGAAAAAGCCAGAAAAGATAAATAAAGGAAAAAAAATAATGTGGAAAATAGAGGTAAGTTGAGTGAGGTATTTCGTCTGGACGCGTGAGAGTCGTCAGGACAGGTTGAAGACAGAGATAAGTGCACTTCTCTGGCCTTTTCTTCCAATATTTAACGTAAATTTTCATGATTTTGAGGCCTTTTAATGTAACTGTGATTTTAAAAAGTCCTGCAGCAATATATCTTTGTTTATTAAGAACCCTCCATGTGTGTCTCTGCTAGCTAGAATGATCCGTTGTGTGTGTGTGTGTGTGTGTGTGTGTGTGTGTGTGTGTGTGTGTTGATGTTTGCCACTTGTGTGTGAATGATGTCTACCAATTGCATGTGTGTGTGTATATATAGTGTCTACCTGTCTACCAGTCGTGTGTGTGTGTGTGTGAAAGAGAGAGAGAGAGAGAGAGAGAGAACAAAGTAATCACTGGAGGATGTACCCACCAGACAGTCTGACACTGCAGAGTCAGGAACAAGGTTCAGTGTACAGTGAAGCTACTCACCACAGTCGTCCTCGTCACTGTGGTCTGGACAGTCAGGGATGCCATCACACACCCACGACTGCTGCAGGGGAGAACCGTCCTTACAGGAACCCACAGCCACTGCTGCTGACCCACTCTTCTCAGCCTCGACCTCCTTCATTCTGCTGGTGTTACTGCTGATGTTGCTGCTGGTGTTGCTGCTGGTGTTGCTGCTGGTGTTGCTGCTGGTGTTGCTGCTGGTGTTGCTGCTGGTGTCACTGCTGGTGCTGCTCGTTTCGTTCTCTGCAAGTGATATCTGTTTCACTGTTCGCTCCTTGTCACTGAAGGGGTCCGCTTCATAAACATGACTGTGCCAGATGTATATTCGGTGACCACAACTGGTTGTGTGTTAGCATACTGGTATTTGAAGGTCAATAACTGAGAATTGTTAAACACTAATTAATACCCACTTGGGTATCTTTAACGAGGAAACGTTTCGCCACACAGTGACTTCATCAGTCCAGACAAAGTACAATCGTGAAGAACAGTAGTTTGAGGTAATCAGTCCCTCAGCCTTGAGTCGATGTAATCAGTCTATCAATCTTCAAAAGACTGATGGACTAATTACATCGACTCAATTCTAAGGGACTGATTACCTCAAACTCCCCCTGTTCTTCACGATTCTCTTCCGTATGGACTGATGAAGCCACTCTATCCCGAAAGTGCTGCACATGTGTCTAATTTATCAACTTACACCACTACCACAATTTTTCAGCAAAAAACACAGCCATTCCATCATGAGTTTTCTCTTTCTCACAGCAACTTGATCACCGAATTCACTATCAACAAATTCTTGTGTAACTGTTGTACTCAGAGATAAAACATCCACAGATTTCCATTCATAGTTATTCCCTAATATTCACTCTGTTTTTCCCTTACATTAAAATTATTAATGTGGTTTTTTTTACACTAAATGGAGACACGAAAGGAGACAACCAATTCATATCCAGCCATTTTTTACTGTCTATTATGATACGACTATAGGTAAAAATTCCTGGTTAAGATTCTTGGAAACTGAGAAGACGTCACTAGATTTAACAATAATAAATATAAGAAAATAAATTTAAAGGAGCATATGTCGTGCAGAATAGGTAAAACTTGTTGTTTTGGCTTGAATAGTAACGCTCTTCTTGCCGAATAAGGCAAGCGAAAATTTGTGTATGCAGTAATTTCGCAAAAAATCATTCTGAATCTAATGAAAAAATATATTCAATTGTGTTTGTTTATTATTAAATTATTGTAAACTTATCTAAAATATATTTAGTAGGATTAGGCTAAATTAAATAGCGCTTGTTATAATAAGGTTAGGTAAGTTTTCTAATGTTCTTTTGGTACAAAATTGTTAATTAATATATCTTTAAACGTATAAGAGAAACTTTTAGAAAGGACTTAATTTTAAATGAGTTTTTGCTAAGTGACCAATTTTACCTATTCGGTACGACATATATATATATATATATATATATATATATACGTCTAACAATTTTTAATCTGTCAGTCATAACAGCAGTATACAGCTGAATGGCTGCACTGTTACATTATGAGTAATGCTGTTGGTATAATAGTCACCGATAAGCGATAAAATTTACGATATCTTACAGTGCCTCGAGAGGAGCTTGTTGTATGAGCAGATTAAAAGTGATTCACTCCTCGTAGTTGCTATCCCGGAGCAACGAACCGGAAGCCACAACACTGTAGCTGCCTCAGCTTACAACTGGCCCACTGAATTAATTTTTTTTTTATCTCCAGGACAACGTCTGATGATATATAAGATGTGGTGCTACTAGGACTACCTGGTGAAGCCAGGTACAGGTCAGGTCATCAATATACTAGGCAGTTCCTTCTTAAACCCAAACCCACTAACAAAAATATTCACCCAACCCAGCTTAATGCTACCCAAAAAATAAGCTTTTGATAATCCTATTAACACACGTGCAACTCCCACTCAAATCCAACCCATCTCACTAATGAACATCAAAATGGTATACAATACCGACAGGTTGTTAGGTAAGACACATATGCAACAGTTAGACAACTTTATTCCGAAACGTTTCGCCTACACAGTAGGCTTCTTCAGTCGAATACAGAAAGTAGGCAGGAACAGTAGAGATGTGAAGACGATGTAATCAGTCCATCACCCTTAAAGTCGTAGAATTTGAGGTTGTCAGTCCCTCGGCCTGGAGAAGTTCAGTTCCATAGTCAGGAACTATCTGAAGATCAAGCGACAGTGCGGAGACTTAAATACTGTCGGAAGGAGAGGTGCAGGGTAGTAGTAGTAGTAGTAGTGAGAGGTAACTGAGAGGTCATGTCCCTCTCAGATCCAACCCTTCTCACTTGAAAAGCTTGTCCAAGGTGTTTTCTGTACCAAGATGCTACGTGTTGCAGTGTCTGACAAGATGAACATCAAAATGGTATACAATACCGACAGGTTGTTAGGTAAGACACATATGCAACAGTTAGACAACTTTATTCCGAAACGTTTCGCCTACACAGTAGGCTTCTTCAGTCGAATACAGAAAGTAGGCAGGAACAGTAGAGATGTGAAGACGATGTAATCAGTCCATCACCCTTAAAGTCGTAGAATTTGAGGTTGTCAGTCCCTCGGCCTGGAGAAGTTCAGTTCCATAGTCAGGAACTATCTGAAGATCAAGCGACAGTGCGGAGACTTAAATACTGTCGGTATTGTATACCATTTTGATGTTCATCTTGTCAGACACTGCAACACGTAGCATCTTGGTACAGAAAACACCTTGGACAAGCTTTTCAAGTGAGAAGGGTTGGATCTGAGAGGGACATGACCTCTCAGTTACCTCTCACTACTACTACTACTACTACCCTGCACCTCTCCTTCCGACAGTATTTAAGTCTCCGCACTGTCGCTTGATCTTCAGATAGTTCCTGATATGGAACTGAACTTCTCCAGGCCGAGGGACTGACAACCTCAAATTCTACGACTTTAAGGGTGATGGACTGATTACATCGTCTTCACATCTCTACTGTTCCTGCCTACTTTCTGTATTCGACTGAAGAAGCCTACTGTGTAGGCGAAACGTTTCGGAATAAAGTTGTCTAACTGTTGCATATGTGTCTTACCTAACAACCTGTCGGTATTGTATACCATTTTGATGTTCATCTTGTCAGACACTGCAACACGTAGCATCTTGGTACAGAAAACACCTTGGACAAGCTTTTCAAGTGAGAAGGGTTGGATCTGAGAGGGACATGACCTCTCAGTTACCTCTCACTACTACTACTACTACTACCCTGCACCTCTCCTTCCGACAGTATTTAAGTCTCCGCACTGTCGCTTGATCTTCAGATAGTTCCTGACTATGGAACTGAACTTCTCCAGGCCGAGGGACTGACAACCTCAAATTCTACGACTTTAAGGGTGATGGACTGATTACATCGTCTTCACATCTCTACTGTTCCTGCCTACTTTCTGTATTCGACTGAAGAAGCCTACTGTGTAGGCGAAACGTTTCGGAATAAAGTTGTCTAACTGTTGCATATGTGTCTTACCTAACAACCTGTCGGTATTGTATACCATTTTGATGTTCATCTTGTCAGACACTGCAACACGTAGCATCTTGGTACAGAAAACACCTTGGACAAGCTTTTCAAGTGAGAAGGGTTGGATCTGAGAGGGACATGACCTCTCAGTTACCTCTCACTACTACTACTACTACTACCCTGCACCTCTCCTTCCGACAGTATTTAAGTCTCCGCACTGTCGCTTGATCTTCAGATAGTTCCTGACTATGGAACTGAACTTCTCCAGGCCGAGGGACTGACAACCTCAAATTCTACGACTTTAAGGGTGATGGACTGATTACATCGTCTTCACATCTCTACTGTTCCTGCCTACTTTCTGTATTCGACTGAAGAAGCCTACTGTGTAGGCGAAACGTTTCGAATAAAGTTGTCTAACTGTTGCATATGTGTCTTACCTAACAACCTGTCGGTATTGTATACCATTTTGATGTTCATCTTGTCAGACACTGCAACACGTAGCATCTTGGTACAGAAAGCACCTTGGACAAGCTTTTCAAGTGAGAAGGGTTGGATCTGAGAGGGACATGACCTCTCAGTTACCTCTCACTACTACTACTACTACTACCCTGCACCTCTCCTTCCGACAGTATTTAAGTCTCCGCACTGTCGCTTGATCTTCAGATAGTTCCTGACTATGGAACTGAACTTCTCCAGGCCGAGGGACTGACAACCTCAAATTCTACGACTTTAAGGGTGATGGACTGATTACATCGTCTTCACATCTCTACTGTTCCTGCCTACTTTCTGTATTCGACTGAAGAAGCCTACTGTGTAGGCGAAACGTTTCGGAATAAAGTTGTCTAACTGTTGCATATGTGTCTTACCTAACAACCTGTCGGTATTGTATACCATTTTGATGTTCATCTTGTCAGACACTGCAACACGTAGCATCTTGGTACAGAAAACACCTTGGACAAGCTTTTCAAGTGAGAAGGGTTGGATCTGAGAGGGACATGACCTCTCAGTTACCTCTCACACTACTACTACTACTACCCTGCACCTCTCCTTCCGACAGTATTTAAGTCTCCGCACTGTCGCTTGATCTTCAGATAGTTCCTGACTATGGAACTGAACTTCTCCAGGCCGAGGGACTGACAACCTCAAATTCTACGACTTTAAGGGTGATGGACTGATTACATCGTCTTCACATCTCTACTGTTCCTGCCTACTTTCTGTATTCGACTGAAGAAGCCTACTGTGTAGGCGAAACGTTTCGGAATAAAGTTGTCTAACTGTTGCATATGTGTCTTACCTAACCATCTCACTAATGTTTTTATCTAACCTAAACTTGAAGCTACCCAAGGTTTTAACTTCAATATAATACTGTTCCACTCATCAGCTAACCTACTATTTTCAAACCAATACTTCCTTAAATCCTTTCTAAATCAAAACTTATCCAATTTGAATCAACTTAGGTTAACATACCTGGAGGTGGGTAATACCTAGGTCAACACACCTGGAAAGTTGTGCAAGACTGGTATACAATACCGACAAGATGAAATTTGAGATTAAGACACATGTGCAACATCTGGGTATCTTTATTGTAGACGTTTCGCCATCCAGTGGCTTTATCAATACAAATTCTTGGACATAATAAGAAAAACGAAGAACTATATACAAAAGATGAGGTAATCAGTCCCTCGGCCTTGGAGGTGGTGCTCTAAACACCACCTCCAAGACCGAGGGACTGATTACCTCATCTTTTGTATATAGTTCTTCGTTTTTCTTATTATGTCCAAGAATTTGTATTGATAAAGCCACTGGATGGCGAAACGTCTACAATAAAGATACCCAGATGTTGCACATGTGTCTTAATCTCAACTTACACCTGGAAAGGTAACACCTAGGTCAACACACCTGGAGGAGGGGTAACACCTAGGTCAGCATACCTGGAGGTGGGTAACACCTAGGTCAACACACCTGGAAAGGTAACACCTAGGTCAACACACCTGGAGGAGGGGTAACACCTAGGTCAGCATACCTGGAGGTGGGTAACACCTATGTCAACACACCTGGAGGGGTAACACCTAGGTCAACACACCTGGAGGAGGGGTAACATCTAGGTCAACACACCTGGAGGAGGAGTATCCACGTACACCCAGTCCCGGTGACCAGACTTGGGTTGAGTCATGCCACAGAGAGAACCCAGGGGTTCACACCACCACTGCGGAGGTGAGTCTAGACTGGGAGAGGGCTTGTCGAAGCTGCTGAAGGAGTCGTTCTCTAGCAGGGTGTCGTTGCAGCCTCCCTCCTGCAGTTCTACATCGTCTACCCACACCTCCGTCGACGCCTCTGCTGTCCCTGCCGTCAGCACCACCTGACAAACCAACACACACTTAAATTTTCCCGAGTCTGACCCTCATACACGAGCATGAATTAATACCAAAATGATATTACACATTATGCTATAATGCTAAAGCCAGTGGAAGGTCTCGGCCACATGTCTGAAACCACCAATGGCGGGTCATGATATAAGAACATAAGAATGGAAGAACACTGCAAATTTAGGTTGGATAAGTACATGAGTGGGAGGGGTTGGATTTGAGTGGGACTTTCACATCGGAGCTTGTTTCTTGGGTGGCATTGAAAATTGGGTTGGGCAAATGTTTTGTTAGTGGGATGAATTGTAAAGGACCTGCCTAGTATGGGCCAACAGGCCTGCTGCAGTGTTCCTCCTTTCTTATGTTCTTATGTTCTTATGAAGGCCTACTGGCCCGTACAAGGCAAGTCATTATCAAAGCCACCCCTACCCAAAGCTACCCAAAAATTTACTCCCAGACCCACGACACCAAACAAACCCAGCCCCTCCCACTCATATATTTGTAAAGTCTTATTTTAAAGCCACACATATGACCAGGACGCTCGTCAAGATGCACTTCTTTCCTGACAAATCTTAATCTAACCTTGGCTGGAAAATATAAACATGAACTCCCAGAACCATACCCCCGGCCGGGATTGAACCCGCGGTCATACCCGGGGGTATGGTTTATTTGCAATCGTGTCATTACGATTTCTTAAGTCATGAACTCCCAGTTGAGAAAGAAAACATCAGATGACGTTTCTGTCCGTTCGAAACGCTTATAAATTCACTGAGAATAGTGCAGGAGAGACCACGTAAACTTTTCTCTTCAAATTTCGGGTTAATAGTGAAAAAAAAAGATGCATATTAGACAAGTCGAAATATTGAGAACTTCAGAAATATGAGATAATAAAACCCTTGGATCGGTTACATAAAAAAGATAATTGAATTATTAATGTGAAGTCATTAAATTTGTCTATAATTTTTGAAAGAAATGTACTTTCGTGAAGTATAATCATGTAAAGTAAAAGGACACAAGTGCAACTAATGTGACATTTATTGTGGCAACGTTTCGCTCTCCAGGAGCTTTATCAAGCTAACACCAGAGTCGCCATCGCTTCTACCACTTCAATAAAGGATCTAACCAGGACAAAACACAAGCACCACGAACCAGTCAATGCAGGAGTTTACACTATACCCTGTGGAGGCTGTGACAAGATCTACGTAGGTGAAACAGCAAGAAACCTCGACACCCGCCTCAATGAACACATATACGCATGTAAGAACGACAACTTAAACAACGCCTGTGTACAACACCGAAATTCCACCAATCATCTTATGAAATTCAGAGACGCCCAATTAGTGATAAAAGAAAATAATTTCCGCACACGCAAGTGCCTTGAATCAGCACTGATCGCTGTTTCGAATACAATTAAACAAAACAACGGCAGCTTCACCATCTCCGAAGTCTTAGCAAGAATCCTCCTGAAAACAGTAAACCTGCCATCACATAGTCTCTCCTGTTATACTACACAAAGCACAGAGAGTGAACACTGAAATAAGCTGCCTCATTCCAGTTTATATTTGTCCAACCTATTTTTATGTTACCCAAGTAATAGCTTTTATATCCTTTTACTCATGTACGAATTAATTGCTCTACCATATTGTATTACTTTTGTCACTACCACTACTACTACCACTAGTGAACATCGAAATGGTACCTCACTAGTATTCACCTCACTCTGAGCCTTTATATACCCTCTGTGTCCATGTATTGTTTGTAATGGCTTGATAAAGCTCCTGGAGAGCGAAACGTTGCCACAATAAATGTCACATTAGTTGCACTTGTGTCCTTTTACTTTACATATTGTCGGTAATTCTACCAACTTTATTACAAGTATAATCATGTACAATTATTACTACATTACAAATATGAGTTCCGGCATACGCATTATTATTATCATGACTCACGAAATCGTAATGACACGATTGCAAACAAACCATTCCCAGGACGGGATTGAACCCGCGGTCAGTGTCATTACGATTTCGTGAGTCATGGAAATAAATGGTATAAAATACCGACACAATGGCAATATAAACACAAATGCAGTATAATGTGATCCTTTATTGACAACGTTTCACCCACACAGTGGGCTTTTTCAAGTCACACACGGATCTACCTGGGGTTGGAAGGTACGAGGGTATTTATAGGCATGTTCAGAATGTTGAAGTCAGGTGGAGAATGCTGCATCTGATGATCTACCGGGTGGGGTTATAGAGTCTTGGGTAGCTTGGCAGGGGTATTGGACAAGTTGTGAGTAGACCTTCTGGCAATATAAACACAAATGCAGTATAATGTGATCCTTTATTGACTACGTTTCGCCCACACAGTGGGCTTTTTCAAGTCACAAACAGAACTACCTGGGGTGGAAGGAACGCGAGTATTTATAGTCCGGCTGAGGTCAGGTGAAGAATGCTGCATCTGATGATGTAGCTCCCCAGTCATACCCCGACGTTACATCAATGCACTCAAAGGTTTAGCAAAAGACACGACCATCAGGGTCACCACCGCTGATAAAGGAGGTGGTGTTGTTATCATGAACACTGACGATTACAGGAACAAAATGCTCAATCTACTTAATGACCCAGATACCTACAAACCTCTCACAACTAACCAAGTGGACAACCTTACTAAAACTTTTCTTCAAAGGACTCGCCGCATTCTGAGGAGCTCAGAACAAGGGAAGAAACTTCTGCACACCATGCCCAGCAACCCCAGACCTGCCAGAATGTACGGCCTGCCAAAGACTCACAAGCCTGGTATCCCACTGAGGCCCATATCCTCGGGAATAGGCAGTGCTCCCCACAAGCTCTCAGGAATTCTCGCCAAACAAACTCTCGAAACTCTTGGGCACTATCAGTCCAGCACATCTCAAACACTCAGGTGATCTTCTCAATCGCATTCGCAACATCAACATCAGGAACAAGAAACTTTCCAGCCTTGACGTGACTTCCCTATTCACTAAAGTACCTACTAAACAAGCCATCGATCTCTTGCGCAAGAAAATTGACGATTCACTTGATCTTCCCATTCCAGCCAGCGACTTCATCGACCTGGTTGAACTATGTGTTGGCTTTACGTGTTTCTCTTTTGAAAATCACCTCTTTCAGCAGACTTTTGGACTACCCATGGGTTCGCACTCAGTGCAGTCCTAGCGAACCTATACATGGAAATCTAGAACCCGAACGTTTTCCACCATTATTCCTTCGTCTGTCACAGGCCTCCTTTATGTTGACGACATTCTCCTCATAACTCCTAAACGCTTCAACGTTCAAGCTCCCCAAGACAAGCTAAAACCAGGTCGAGCCTTCAATCCAGTTCACACTTGAAGAAGAGGTCGACAACACTCTTCCTTTCCTTGATGTTCTACTCTGCAAAGCTGACCACGAACTCGTTTTAAAGTCTATCGAAAACCCACCAACCAAAACGTTTCTTCTCCATTTCCCTACTCTCACCACGACACCAAAACCAAACGTGGTGGTAATTATAGGCTTCTTCCTGCGTGCACTCAGAATCTGCAGCAACAGTTTCCTTGAGGAAGAATGCACTATAATTGAAAGGTATTTTCCAAACTCCCCCATCCTCGTCATTCATCAGAGACTGCAGACGGCGAGCATAACATCTTCAACACACCCCGAGAAGACACTGCCGAGAAGAGATACATAGTCCTTCCCACCAACTCCATTGCCAAACATGTTTCCAACATCTTTGCCAAAACATCATTCCAAGTATCTACCTCCACAACCACGACATCAAGGACATCACCAGTAGTAGGCAGGACAAGCCTCCAAACCTCGCAGGGTATACATAATCCCTTGTAATGACTGCAACAAGTTATACGTGGGCGAAACATCAAGGGACCTCCAAACACGTATTTCAGAACACCAATACGCAAGCAGGTCTGACGACACAAGGTAATGCCTGCGTACAACACCGTAATTCACAAAAAGCACTTGATAAACTACAGAAACTCAAGACTTATCGCCACAGAAGACAACACTCAATACCGAAGAATCCTGGAATCATCACTTATTTCTATTCCGACAACTTCAACCAGAATAGTGGCTTCTATAACATAGCGAACCACTTGCCAAGAAACTTCTTCATCGCTATCCCACATAAAAACATGTAGAAGGTCTGCTCACCAACTTTTCCAGTCTCCTTTCCAACTACCCAAGTTTTTTCTCTACAACCCAACTCGGTACATCATCAGATGCAGCATTCTTCACCTGACCTCAGCCGGACTAAAAAAATACTCGCGTTCCTTCCACCAGGTAGTTCTGTTTGTGACTTGAAAAGCCCACTATGTGGGCGGGAAAAGTAGTCAATAAAGGATCACATTATACTGCATTTGTGTTTATATTGCCAGAAGGTCTACTCACAACTTTCCCAATACCCTGCCAAGCCCCCAAGCCCTTATAACCCCCCCCGGAAATCATCAATGCGCTTTCCCCCTGACTTCAACATTCAAAAACATGCTATAAATACCCTCGCCCTTCCCAAACCCCAGGTAGATCCTTTGTGTGATTTTAAAAAAAAGCCCCTGGTGGGTAAAACTTTGTCAATAAAGGATCACATTATACTGCTTTTGTGTTTATTTTCCCTTCGTGGGTTTCATGTTGACGGAAAATGGGGATTTAAAGAAATAAAAAACAAAAAGAAAGGAGGAACACTGCAGCGGCTGTTGGCCATACTAGGCGGCCCTTTTAAAATTTCATCCCATAACAAAATTTTTGCCCAAACCCCAAATTTTTCAGTGTACCCAAGAACTAAACTTGATTTGCAAGCCCCATCAAATCCAACCCACCCACTCTGTTTTATCCAAACCTAATTTTGAAACGAACTAGAGTTCGTCCGGCCACCTAGTGGGTTTGTCTGAAAAAACTTCTTTTGTGGTCAAGAGGTCCTGTCAACCTTCCTTTGGTGTAGAAAATATACCTAGGGGGATGAATTTTTT